AGCCTATGTTTTTACAGCTTCTTCTTTCTTGAAATGTAACTTAAGTTACTACTAATGTCTTTCATATTTTTTTAATCTTTTGAAACATTTAAACACTCACTGAAACCATAATTAATGACTGTTATGCGCACTAACAATTTTAGGCAAAACACCTTTTTTGACCTTAATTGAATTGTCACAACAGCATGTGATCCATGGCTGCAGAAACCAACTATTGTGTGTATTATGCCCAAAGAGACATCTTTACATTTGTTCTTATGTCAACATAAAAAAAAAAAATCAAAAGATCTTGAATAATATCGAATATGCTTAAAAGCAAATATTTAACTTTTTTTTCTAAGATTCATTTTTGGGCTTTTTGTGCCTTTATTGTAGAGATAGGACAGTGGATAGAGTTGGAAATCAGGGAGAGAGAGTAGGGAATGGCATGCGGGAAAGGAGCCACAGGCGGGATTCGAACCTGGGCTGCCCGCTTGGAAGACTACAGCCTCCATACATGGGCGCGCACACTAACCAATGCGCCACCAGCGCCCCGAATATTTAACATTTTAAGCTAAAAAAAACCAATCAATCAATGAGAATATACTTGACGATTGATTTTCTTTCAAATAATAAATTCAACTATTGTTGCAACTCTCCTCTACTCTTCCTTGTTAAATTGGTAATCTTCAGTGAGTTAGCATCCTCACTTCTTTAGGCTTTTGAGTAGCACAGAAACAGACACCCTATTTACACCTGGTGAAAAACATGCAATCTGTAACTGGATTTGTCATCTGGAAAACAAGCTTGCCTTTGCTTTTACACCTTCTATTTTTAATTGTCTCGTTATCCTCATTCAGATCTGATCTCAATTTTCTCCAGAAAAAAACATATTCACAGAAGTCAGAGCAGAATGATGGTGTTGATCTTGATGCTAGCATGCAGATTGTATTTACACAACATCCGTTTGCCCGAGTACAATGTGAGCCAAAAAAATAGACCTTGGGTTTTTTTCTGTTCCACATAACATGTCCAGATATGAATCAATATTTGATTTATGGTTTAAAAAGGATCTTAGTATGAAAAGCCAAAATTCTCATCTACTCCAATTTTTTTTTTAAATATCATCATCTGTGCAACATTTCTTGAGAGTAGATTCAGAAGGTTTGGAAAATTTATAAAAGAAGAAAAGTCAGGTCAAGGTCTGCTTCAGTGCAAGATTTGTTCCTGAGATCAACTTAAGCACTGACTGTTCTTAGTACAAGTATATCTGTGTCAGCAAGGCAGACAGAGAGAGAGGAGAAAACCGCTGTCCCTCCCGCCAAATGCACACAGTGACAATAAACCTTTTGTTGTCAATCCTGCTGATTCATACTTTATGCTCCTCTCCTTTCTTACCTTTGTCCGACATGTCAGTACCTAATAGTTAGTGCCATTTCACATCCGGGATTTGACTGAGTTGATTCATGATGACTGACAGTTTGACAGGCCCACTGATTAGATGATTGGCCTTGGCCTTTATCCATTTAAATGTCATGGTAACGAGGTAGCAGGAAATTCTTAACTCTGTGAAATGACCTAATTTTATTGTAATGCATTGCGGCTGTAGACTGATATAGATCGAAATTGGCCTTAAAGTGTGAGCTTTCCAGCCATTATTCCTGAATCCACTGACAATTTTTTCAAGATGCCCATCTCAAAGAAATTGTTCTGCATTACTCTACTATCAGCGCTTCCACAATTTCCTGAGGCTGCTGTCAGACTAGACTTCATCACGTTTCATCAAGGAGCAATGAAATATCCTCCTAAGATGGAGCGCCATTATTAGGTGTGACATGTAATAAGGTATGCAGACAGCTGCCAAATACGTTGACATGCTCCAAAATCACTGATCGTAGATATACAACTCTGTGTCTGATACCATCATTGATGTAACCTCCTCTAGAGATACTCTGACGCTGTGCTCGCTCATGAATTTCTCTTCCTTGTTATCCAACCCTCCCCCCATCCTTTTATTTAGTATGTATATAACATAAGGAAAAGCCCCTCACAAACTCATTTTCATGAGACTTAGACTTCCACTGATGTAAATGCTTCATTGTATTGAGAGATAAATCTACTGAGACTGAGATAGAAAGCTAAATGATCTTAACAACCTATTGAAGAAATCAACATCCCTCTGCTCTGTTTACTGTCAAATTTAAGGCAGAAAAAAACATTGTAGATGCAGTATTTCTGAGGTAACTCTGGAATTGTGTGAGGCACAACTGGAGCTCTTCAACGGCTTGGATCTGTGTGAAAGTCTCTCGGTTGGATGATTAGAACAAAAGATAAAAATCAGTGACAATACCTGGTTAACTTTTTAAAAGGGAAAAAACAAGCCAGTGTGCGTTACTGTCATTCATTTAATCCTGGCAGGAAAAATCTGATCTCTTATGGCTACATGCTTGTTGCACATCAGCTCATAGTGGGAGCTTGATAGTGCATTCAGGTGAAAACGTAAAATCCGTTGAGCTTTTTGCATGGGTTTTCTCAAAAATAAATAATGATCATAGAAACTGACTTCTACAGTGTAGCAACAGGGGATAAGACTTTTGGATACTGCAGCTTCCAAACGTTTCAGTCCTAGAAAATGATTTCCTGGAAACACATTTCGAGATCAGTTCTAACAAAAAACTGCTTTTTCACAACGAGGGATTAAACAAAGAAAAAATACCCAATTGCAGAACTAACAAAAATGATTTATGAAAACAGAAGGGCAAAACAAAAGTTCACTTATTCAGGTGTCTGAAAATCAAACAGGCCACAAAAGGTTCCAAAAAGTCCAACAGAACACAGAAAAAAGTCTCAAGAAGCAGAGGAAACACTAAAGGGTTAATATTTATATGAACACAAAGAGATGCTGGCAGGTAAGATGTTATGAAGTGACACAGGAGGGAAGGTACACAGAGTCTGTCTACCAAACCGCCTACTACAAACTACTTTCGAACACAGTATGAAGTACCTTCTGCTAACTGTGTTTGATAATATTAAGTAGTTTGAAAGTGTTTTTTATGCAGTATGCCCGGCTAAACTGGTCTAGTCTTGGAATGTGGAAGTAAACAACAGCCCAGCTGACGGCAAACGTTGCTACAGTGTAGCATCCACTTAGAGTCTGAAAAAAAGCTTTTCATTCTACAATTCTACAATTCACTTAGCAGATGCTTTTATCCAAAGCAATGTACATCAGAGAGTAAGTAGAACACAAGCAAGGATTTAGAGAGGAGGAAACAACATCAGTAAGCGCAAACGATCACCTTTGAGTCCGACTGGACACACAGGTGCCAAGCACAAGCACAACACTGACCGCAGTTCTTGAGAGCTCTAATCAGTATAGAAACCATCTTAAAATCTTTGTTATCAAACAAATCCATCGTCATTACCATCATTAATAATATCGAGACCCATCATCATTAAAGTCGAAGGTATTCATGAAAAATCTGGGTCTTTAGCTTTTTCTTAAAGGTGCAAAGGGACTCTGCAGATTGAATGGAGTTTGGAAGTTTGTTCCACCAGCAGGGGGCGACAGAGGAGAAGAGTCTAGTTTGTGACTTAGGACCCTCTTGTGAAGGTTGGATCAGACAACTTTCATTTAGATTTTCATGATTTTGAGAATCCAAATTTGTATCTTTGTGTGAGTTTGGTCTGATTGTGATTATTTCCCCTGTTATGATGGATGTTGCTGTCTGTAATTTCAATCCCTGACTTGACGCTCTGCATTGTGGGAAATGGTAAATGAGAAGACCGATCTGATGCTTACTGTAAATTTTTTCATAATCAGTACGACATCCGGTTATTTTTGGCATACTGCAGATCTTGCATTTTTTTTGCATACTTCATACTTCGTTCTGCATTTTGGCCAAATCAGTATGTTCTACTAGTATAGTAGGCAGTTTAGAAAACAGCCACGAGACTAAAAGCACTGGGGCAACTTAAACACAGGTGGGACTAAGAAGACGCCGGTGAGAACAATGAGGGCAATCAAAACTGGACGGAAGCACACAAAGGCAGGAAGTAGGACATGCTGTGTCTAAAATCCCACACTCCATATTGTAATGGTGTCCCAATTCTGAGTGAGCTGTTCATACCCTAGACTCATTGTAACCAACAATGCATTGTGAAAAGTAGTGTAACCTATTATCACTGTCTAAGCAATATTATCCCACCATGCACCGGATTCAGAGGTTTTTGTGGAAGGTGGCTTTTGAGAGCTCTCTAGAGCGGGACCAGCGTGGACACACGAAACAAGACATAAAAAAGTTCATATTTGGGGGCATATTTACTGAAATCTTGAAGACATGTAATGGAGAGTAACTTTAAAAAAAAAAATTCTAATGATAATTACAGGCACGAGGCCAGAGTCTGTGAGCAAAAATATGTTTAATCATTTATCAAAAATTCAATATTATGATATTTTATATTCTATTAGTTATTTCTAATTGTTTTGTGAAATACGCCCAGTATAATATTCGTTTTCACTGAAGTTCATGCTATTATTAATTGTTAATATGGATCCTGGGTCTACGTTAAGCTACACATTTTAGTTGACATCATTGCTGGTGACCGGTGAGTGATTGAATAGTGTTCTAAATGTTTTTTTACGAATGAGTGCACTATATAGTCCACTACAGAGAACTCCCTTTGTAGGGAGTAGGGAATGAGTTTATGATTTTTGACACAACCATGTTGCACTGGGGCAAAAACTACGAAATAAAATGGGAAAGAATAAAACACCAACAGAGAACTCCAGAATATAACACGAACAATAAAAACAGGGAGTTACACAGGAGAAGGAAAAGACATAATATACAGAAAAACAAACAGGCGAAAAAAAACACAAGAACACATCTATAGGTTTCTTAAGGATAGTCATGTTATTAAAAAAATAGCACATCGTGTCAAGGACATATTGTAAATAAGCATACTAAGAAAGGAACCACACAATTCTTCATAGCTACAACTACAGCTTAGCTTAGTTTGATTTAACCCAGCACAAAGACTGAAGGGGGGGGGAGCTCGACTTGTGAACAAACTTCAAAGGTAACATTGTATCTCTATCATTGTCTGCACATGTTCAGGAATAAATGCCATTTGTCTTTGTCGTATAAAAGAATCACCTGCAGGCTGTGGCTTCATATAAAAGAGGCGGAAAGGAGAGTTATAATGATGCCGTCTAACTCAGCAAGACAACAGAAACAAGGTTGCCTTTGTGGTGAAAAGTCAGGACTGTCTAGCACAACTCGCCTCCCCTCTCCTTTAACAGCAGTCATGTTTAAAGCTGACAGACAGCCTGGCACAGAGATGTCATACTGGCACAGAGGCACACTATTTGCTCTTCTTTCATTAAAGGTTTATTTTATTAAACAGGCAACATGATCCCTCTAGATCACATTTAGGCATGCTAACAAAACAAGAAGGAAAGCAAAAACACATCTATAAAATTCAACTCATTTGGCTTTATTGTCGTGTGTGAAATAAAACTCCAGCTCAAATTAGCACCTTGAGAACGACTGAATGTGGAGGCAATCTAATCCTCCACAAGAAACCTGCCTGTGGCACAGTAGCAATTAGTCCTTCAGTACAATATGTTTTTTCAGGACACAAAATACAGTTACATTTGTCTTTGCTTTCTATTGTATTTTAAATAACTTTAAGCTGCTATACCTGTAAGACATTGGTTTATTCCACAGCATTTATTTGTTTTAAATCCTTGTGAATGAAAGCTGATCATGGATACCAGACAGAGACGTTTCTTGGTTAAGCCATAAGAGTTAAATGAGGGGTGAAGAGGAAACAGGTCTGAGATTTGCGCAGTCGTTAGAAAGATCTCTTTGGCCTCATTTACAGCTGTCATTACCGGGCGTCACGGGTGATCCCATCACAAGTGAACAGCTTGAAGTACGTCAGGTCTCGCTTGGAATTAGAGTGTTTCTCCACAGGCGTCATGAGTGACCACTTCTAGTCATTCTTGCTTTAAATGTCAATAAATTCATGCATCATTTCATCAACAGCAACCATATATATAATTTTTTTTATCATGATGAACGCCTGCAGCAGAGAGGAGAGAGAGAGAGGTGGCTCATGTGGACAAGTGAGAGAAGAGGAGCTTATATGGAAAGAGGTGATGACATGACAAACCTTTCTTTGATCTTAAGCCTTGTGTTCTCATACAATTCTCACTCAGTGCAATTACACATACAGTTAAGTCCTGCTGCGGTTATAGCTTGAAGGTTATTTAACTGCAATACTGTCTTAACAAGCATGTGGGGGGATTCAATTAATTTCTTGAAGTTTGTCTAACTCTCCTATGGTAAGCTAGGTGACGAAACACCCCCTCTCTTCCACTCACTTCTGGACTTTCTTCCGGTTGACTTATGTCACATACCAAACAATCCAAAAACAAGTTATCAAGCTTCATACTGGTTGTTTGTCAGTTAAACATGGACAACTTCACAGCTCTGTACATTTCATACATTCTCGCTCCAACACTCTCCATGTTGATACCTTTGTCTTGTTTGCCTCTCAGCTTCCGTCTATGCATTCATGCTGCAAGACTTCAGGGTCAAAGCCCAGTGCAGCAAGAGTGGAGCATGTGTAAAACACACGTTGAGGGTCAACTGAGGGGTACACATGGAAGACTTAATCAATTTCCAATCCCATTCTCGAAGTGTGTTTGTCCGACTTCAAGAAATGCATCCATATGTTTTATTTAGTCTGCTTTTCTGTGATAGGTAATGTTTGGTTGTTTCTCGATATCTGGGTTATCGTATATTCTAGTTGCAGCACAAAAAACACCTTACAATACTCACTTACAAGAACAGAGCTGTGTTTTAATTGATGTCACAAAGCATCTTGAGAGGATGTTGGTTGGGTTTGAAAGATAAAAAGCAGCTGGAGGCTATGACCACTCTCGTCTTTCATCTCATCTATTCATTTACTAAGAGCACTTTGCTTTATTTAAAGTGTGTATGAGAGGCACTGGAAGCACGGACACTAAACAATTGTTAAGTGAAGGTAACGCTTTTATGTAAATCATTAACATAATACAGATACACTTAAAAATTCTCTTTGGCTACTTCAGTCTCACAAACAGTAATTATGATTTATTCATTTATTTTTAAATTTAATTGTAATGTTTTTATCTACATTTCAGGGTTTGGAATGACCACTCCGGCCACCATTGGAGGAAAAGTCTTCCTGATGTTTTACGGCCTCCTCGGCTGCGCAGCAACCATCCTCTTCTTCAACCTCTTCCTGGAGCGTGTCATCACCGTCATCGCTGTCGTCCTCAAGTCCTGCCACGAGCGACGCCACAACAAAGCGGTTCTCCCGCAAAATGGCCGACGAGTCTCTGAGGGTAACAGAGCAGGTGTAGCAGGAGGGAGTGGGGGTGGAAAAGGAGCGGACTTGGCCGGCTGGAAGCCTTCGGTGTACTGCGTCATGCTCATTCTAGGAGTGGCAGCGATCTTGGTTTCCTGTTGTGCCTCGCTCATGTACTCAGCAGCTGAAGGGTGGGGCTACCTGGACTCGCTCTATTTTTGCTTTGTGGCCTTCAGCACCATTGGCTTTGGCGACATGGTGAGCAGCCAGCGGGTAGTCTACGAGGGCCACGCAACCACCGCGTATCGTCTGGGCAACTTCCTCTTCATCCTGACCGGCGTCTGCTGCATCTACTCCCTCTTCAACGTCATCTCCATCGTCATCAAGCAGGTCCTCAACTGGCTGCTGAGGAGGCTGGAAGCTCCCTGCCGCTGCTGCTTGCCCAGAAGGGGTCACCACCCGCACAGGCACCCCCGGCGGAACGTGGTAGCTCCAGGTCACTTGCGAGCCCGTAGAGACCCCTCCATCGAGACTGACGCCATCAACGAGAGCGAGACTGACAATGGACGCAGGATGTCTGGGGAAATGATCTCCATGAGGGACTTCCTAGCAGCCAATAAGGTGAGAGCTTTAGGTCTGGGGCAGCCTGTGGGACTTTCCACCTGTTTAATACAATCATGCGTGTTATTACAAGATATTGACTTATCTCAAAGGTGATTAGATGAATGCCTCGCATGAGAAGCAGGAAGAACAATTGTTCAATAATCTTGTTTCCCTGTAGTCATGTCACCACAGTCATTAAGTCCTTATTTAATCTGCTCCGTTCATCCCCCTCATCATAAGCTGTATTGAATTTTGAATGATCGATTGCAGCTTTCCTGCTCCCAATGTCAATGCAGAGCTCCTTATGAACCATACCATGCAGGTAATATAATTTGACAGCCTATGCACACTTCCTGTTATTGGATCCTTTGGGAATCTGGTCTCAAATATTAAGCAAAAACATGATACGAAAGATAAGAGGCACCTAAAGCAGTGGAAATAAACTGCTAGTAAACCTTTATCAAGAAACTGTTTATATCGCTGTGTGGACTATTTCTCAGGTCTGTATTAATGTGTAAATCTGAGATTTCTTCCAATTTAAAAAAACAAAAAAACAAAATGAGGCACAAATTACGGATGTCGATCATGATTTGATTGACATCTGCTCAGCTCTGCTTGGTGCCGCAAATAACAGTATGAGTGAGTTTCTATTTTGACATAAATTCCAGTTTCATTCTGATAGCTCACTGGTGGGTCATAAAAGACTTTGCTATCCATATCATATTTAGCAGTTAGCAAACACATGCAACATTATTTGAGATGCCCCTATCTGTTCTCAAAGCTACGAATGAAATCCTAAAAGGCAATAGCTAACGCTATCAGATGATGACAGATGTGCGGCAGTGTGTTCAAACAGTCAATGTACACTAGATTAGTAGCAGTGTGTTTTTCCATGATGCTTGTATTGTGGTAATTATGTATCAAAGTATGAGCAAGCCCAATGCAAACAAAATTGTTCCAAACTGTGGAAACAGGGAAACTGGACCCAAATGCAGGCATAAAAATACAGTCAGGCAGGACGATGCAGCACAAAAAAGATATTTAATCACAAAAGAAGAGCAGCTTACAAAATCCTAGAATGGCAGTAAGGCACGCAATAATATCCAGGTATCAAAAACAGAGCAAACAGATAAGGAACCTACAGCAGAAACTCACATGATGAATTAAATAAAAGGGGAAACTGACTGGTTATATGCAGGGGAGCTGACAGAAAGTGTGAAACAGGTGTGTGAAGGAGACAACAGGCTGGTGAACAGTTGGAACTCAAGAAGGTAGAGAAGGCAATCAAACAGGAAGAGAAAAAACAAAGGCAAGGAGTAAAACAGGGCAAGACACATAGGAGACATGAACATGCAAAGTAAAACAGGAAACACAAAAAACTAACACAGGACTAAAACAGTAAAAAAAATAAAAAATCACAGACAGGGAGTGTAGAAACATGAGGGTAGTTAATGCCCTAATAGAAAATGTAATCTTAGCTATGAAAGAAAGAAAAAACTACTAAATCAAAAAAGAACAACTCATCATGACACCAAAATTTGAACCAAAAATGAATGAAACCAATTATAAAGGCGTTTTGATTAAAACATTGTTTTAAACAGCAATAAACACTGTAAAGTGTAATTTAACACTATATGTGATCGTTAACAACGGTTATATGTTTCAATAACTGCTGTCAGAAAATACATGTAAGCAGCAGTGTATTTTTGCTGCTGTTTTTCAGGCTATAATATTTGTAAAAATGTCTCTGAATACCAATGATGTTACTCACAGCTATCATCACCTCAACAGCCCTTGTAGCCACTCAAAGGTGTCAATTGTCCATACATTTCCATAACTGCTCCCCTACTTTTCACTGACAAGAGGAATGAGGAATTGTGAGCAGCAGTATGCCAAAGCAATACTTACTCACCCCAGGATTCTTGTGATTCAAAACAAGATCTGAATTTGCACACCTGATTATTTTATCACTCTGATTAAAAACCTGAGGGGTCTTGACTGAGAAACGACTGAATGGTGTGATAGTGTAGTAAGGATGAGTTAATGCAATCCATTAATACACAATCTACTATTAAGATATACTTACATGCTGTGTGTAAGATAACCTTTAAACAGTAGTGCATTTAATTTCACAAATGTCTTTCATCACAATGAATTCTATGTTAAAAACTGAAAGAATGTAAGAGCATTGTACAAGTTGTTCTTGTGCAGAGGGGAATAAGAGAGAAATCAGAGGGAGGGGTGGAGGTCCTCAGAAGGGGACTTGTCAACACAGCAAGTTAGAGTGTTGCTACTGCTGCACAGTTTCAATCAGCACCAGCTGAACATCGTGCCAACATAAGCTGGCATTATAGCCTTTGGAGTTGTGTTGGTGTTACACTATGACAAATGTCTTTAATACTTGTAACCTCTCTCCAAACATTGAATCATCTTCAGAGGTGGGTCAGTCTCAGTGATTGGACCAGATAGATACTCATGATAAGGTCATATGGATCCATTTACTGAGACAAGGAAATCCCTGATTAGGATAACATTTAAGTTTGAACTCAATCAGTGCTCACTGCTGCATTGTTCTCCAGCATGGGCCGATTTCTCACAATAGAACAGGATGTATATTTTAGTATGTTAGCTTGATGCTAACACATAGCCTACTGGAAAGTGCCAACAGAACACACTTAAAGTTTCAGAGGGACCGAAACATTGTTTTTTTTAAACATAGATAATAAATAAAATGGTGATTCAATGTAAGACTAATGAGCAGGATTTTTTCTTTTTAATGTGATAGTTTTATGTCCTACGTATCAACTTCATGAGATAGTTGGATGTGCGAACACCTCCTTTAAACATACTTAACAAACATCACTCTATGCATTTGTACTGACAGGCGTTTAACATGACAATTTCTTTATTTCTTTTGTTCATGGGACGTATCACTCTGCTGCCTACTTTAACCTATTGTTTTGAAGAGTAGCAAAAGGGCATGTGCAATTTTTTAGGGAGTCTAGAGGGGCTCAGAGCGCTGGATTCTAGCGTCCCAGACCGAAAACACATCATCAAAAAGCGGCCATCTCCGGTGTTGAAAAATGAAGCCCTTGAGGAAGTGTGAAATCCTGCAGTTTGTCGAGTGTCTGCTTGAGGCTGGCTGCTGAAGCACTGGAAGTCACATACACACCCATTTTAAAAAAAGCCAGATTTTACATCAGAAATCAACATCCTTACATCCTGGTACCAAAAACAAAATTGGTCTCATTATCTCATGTCTCAATTGGCACACATCATACGGGGGTTGAATCTTTTGATAACTTATCCGTTTTAATTTTATGAAGGATAAGCGTTAATCACAATAATGCGTGAAGCCTACCTGATTGACAGGCGGGCACAGCGTAATGGTTTTTGAAGAGGCTTTAAACCCACCTCAGTTCGTTAGGTTGAGACAGCATTATCAGCATGGAGACAGCCATGCTGGAACTCCAACCCCCTGCAGTAACATATATGTGACTTCACTCAGGCTTCGTTTATTCATATTACATTATTACAGTCTGTGGCGACCAATCAGTAACTTTGGACACAGAGAACATTTTCAAATGACATTTTTATTGCAGTTTATACATTTTACTCGATAAGTCTAACTACATTGCCATTTTAAAATGGTACATGTGTGTATATTAAAAACTAATTTAAAAAATGTATTCAGTAAAGGTCTGTCATTCTCCATGTGGGGAGTACGTAGGCAGCGCACTACCGCCCTCTATTTACAATCCACCTCTGAACACCATGATGACACAACTTTGTGCAGAGAACATAGCTTGTAGGGGTTTAATCATGACTCAGCGTTTCTTCATATCCAAATATAGCTCCCTTACATTTTTGAGGTACGAGGATCCAACCTTATGGAGTTACACTCTTACACATGTTCTGTTTCATTTTATTTTTTTTAAAGCACCCTGTCACACTCTTAACCCCTGATATTAGGAAACCACATGTTCCTTTTTTCAAATATAGCACAAACGTAGTAATGTGTTTCATTTTCCAATCTTCATAATTGACTGTTCCCTCCGAGGCTTGATAGCAATCACTTCAGGAATAGATACAGCTTGTATCAGACAAACAAAAGAGTGATTTAACAATAAGGTCAAGATGAGAAAATATTGATGCTGATGTTGATGATGATTGATTATCACACTTTTAGATGCATGTTTTTTTTTTTTTACAAGGGTTCTTTGTTTTAGTTCATAAAAGAAAATTGCTTTGCAAAGATTGCAAGCCCAAATCTGTTTTTTTGCACATGCAGAGTGAGTCCAGATGGATTTAAGAAGGTCTTGACGGCAACATGTGTGGTTAATGTTGACATTGGCTGTCAGCTTAATAACTAGTCAAAAGTGACCCACTTCACTTGAGGTCAAGAAAATGATTCATGACACCGTTATGATGGTGTAATAATGACAGCCAATGTCAGCAATGTGACAGGTTCATGATAATCAGGCTCGACATGTTAATGTGAAGTTGTCATAACAAAGACATCCTGAACAATGTCCACTTTGCATTAAAAGTGACATAATTTACAGGACACTTAATGACAACATTCATGCACATCCATAAAGCCTCCTTCATGTTAATGACAGGTGTCATGTCATGGTTCACAGTGTCATGTCAGTCTTATGCATACCCCTTCAAATGAAGTGTTACCTAAAAGTCAGTGGAACACCAAAGTGAGTGGGTCTTATGCTGAGGATACATGTCTGCACAAAATTCACCACATATACCACATGTTATCACTTACTATACCACTTATTTTGCTGTTTCCATAGGGGGTGGAGTAATGGAAAGGCATCCATACAGTCATGCTGCTATCTGTGCTTACATCTCACAATTATGTGTTTAACACAGTTTAGCACATCATGGACAATCTCCACACAGCCATTTGTATAATGGATGAGTGGGAGACTTAATTCATGGCTTCTTTCAGTAACTCTTATTCAGTATTCATCGTCTTTGTTCTTGTCTTTGATCATTTATAACAACCCACAAAAGAAAAAAGAAAAACACCATATGGCCTCCTTCTATTACACCTGCGATGACACCAACACGTTGTCTTAACCCTGGTTTCACAGGGTGCACTTAGCACTTCCAAAGAAAGACTCAAATAGTTTCCACATCTCTGTGTTTCTGTATCTCTGCAGGTGAATCTGGCTATTATGCAGAAGCAGCTTTCCGAGATGGCAATCGGGCACCCGCGCCAATCCAGCTCCTGTTCGCATCAGAATGGATTCTCCGGAGGGGTGGGCGCCCTCGGCATCATGAACAACCGGCTGGCAGAGACCAGTGTTGACAGATAGGGGGAACAGAGTGAATCCTGTTTAATGGGTACAGAGGACTGGCAGGGTGAGACGGTTATGGACAAATTGACACTGAAGAATGCCTTGCTAAATAAAAACCCCGGCAGAAGAATCAGATGGTGAACAAGACTGAATTTATGAATACAACTTTTCCATCATCGAGCAAGCTGACCCCCGAGCAAGAACAGAGTAGAAACAAACTCTCTTCTCTGACAAGAACATGGCTACATGAAAGATCCATGATAGTCTGCTGGAGCATCACATCTGGACCACGCTCTGTGTGCTGAAATGTTCCCCCGTGAGGAATTCAGTTTCCATGGTGATGTAAAAAAAAAAAAAAAAAAAAATCCTGCCTAGAGCTGTTGTACCCAAGCCTTAAAGACATCATGGACTACATGCTTCTTCACACCAAACCGCTTCACTTAACTTCCACTCATCCACAGTACTTTACAATACTCTCTACAAGTCCAACCATGTCCACGCTCTATCTGTATTTAACGAAGAAGGAATAGCTTTAATAAAATACCTGTTTCTTGGCTGTGTGTCTTACAGTGGTTCTTATTATTTAGAGTTTGGTGTCATGTAGAAAACTCTACACCAAACCCTGTTCATTGATAAGTGATGACTGCATATGAATGTTCAATGCAGAATACAAGTAGAGTATTTGATTCATGCACTTCATGACTGAATGTTTCACAGCTATATTCAGCAGCCTCTATCTCTGGTATTGCTTTCTATAATAACAATAAATAAACAGAAACCTCATTACAAGCTGAACAGACCAATCTATAGCTGAACAGCTGCTGTTCTGGGTCGCAGATGAAACCTGTTCTGAGAGAATGCTGATTACTTTGAGGCTTCCTGCACATTATATCCAAGCAAAGACGCAGACACTTTACACTCTGATTACAGTCAGGCCTGTAGGTGATTGGAATCGACATAAATGTCGAGACAACAAGTCTATCCAGAGGGAAATTATTTCTTGTTTTCAGCCCAGTGTACGGTTTAAATTTTTCCTAGTCTGGATTCACTGTGCAATAAAAGAGGATGGGATTGTTTGCAGCATGCCTTTAGAGGGATTGACTCCTGTGACGCAAACAGGAAGCCAAGAGGGAGAAGAACTTGTGGATACTAAATAAGGCTTGTTTTAAAGAGAGGCATCTCCATTATACATGCATCTGAGATGAAATGACATGGTGAGAATTATCCACACTTCATTCATGACATCCTCAGCTTCGATAAATCGGACTTCACTTGTATGTCTGCTTACAAGACAACAAGATGGTAGTGGAACGAAATCCATTGTTGTAACCTTTATGAAAGACGCCATAGCAACCCCACAAAGAAATCATGTGCAGTATTGTTCTGATATTTGTTCAGAATTACATGGGTTTGTTTTCAGCAGGTTCAAAAGATCTTTATGTGAGTCGTCTGTTGCAAAATCCTTTTCATTTCACAGCACAAACTGGTGAGACAAAGGAGGTGAGATCCAGGCGGAAATTAATAAAACATATGCAAGGTAAAGAAAATATCCATACAGAAAGAAAGGTCTTTGAGGAGGAAAACATCCCTTTTAACAGTTATTTTTGCATTCAGGATTTTTTATAGTAAGGCATGAAAACCTGTTCAAGCTTTAAACTTCTCCAAATATTGAAGAGGTAAACATCAAAAGTTGAATCTGGGACATTTTGTATTATGATTATGAGCCCACCTAGAATTTGATGCCATAGATAAAAAAAACAAATTGAGACAGAGGCAACAAAAGACTGAAAAAGATGTTAAAAGCTTAAAAAACATCTGATGGAATATAATTGTATAACTATAAAAAGGAAAGTAATATGATTTGCAAGACTTTAAGAAAAATTTTTTCATCTAAAATTGCAAATAATCAGGGGATTTCATCGTGTACATGAAATAAAATCATTTAAAGACTTAGACAATCTGAAAAATTCCCTGTACACAGGGGATGAGGACGGAACAGTGTTTAAAGACTTGATTCAGTCTAGGACTTCACTGCATGGGCTCAGGACACTTCCAAAAACCATTGTCTGTGAACACAGTTCATTGCTGCATCCACTAAAGAGAGTAACTGCATATAATCCAGATCCAGAAATGCGCACTGCATTAGTCCAGGTTTATGTCATATGGACTGAGGCAAAGTAGAAAACTGTACTCAGGTCTGACAGATCACATTTTCACTTTCTGTTCCTAGGAAAATCTGTTCTCCAGTTCTACAGTAAGCCTGAAATCAAAGGTCACTGCTTTACAATGACATGCCTACTTTTTTCTTCATTAGTCTATAATCAAGAATGGTTTCTAAAATTAATTTCGATATCAAGCAAATTTGCCACCAGTATGAATGCAATCTGATTATTTGGTGTGCAATTAAATAGAGTAAAAATAGAGAGGCAATCTTTTGGGAAGCAATGGGTCAATTGCTTCAGCAATTTGACTCACTTGTCCAAACAGTTCACAAATGTACTTAACTTGTCTATGCTTTCAAGACAATAAAGGTAAACTATAAAAGACTTGTATTGCCCTTTTTTAGTCTTCTAGCTACTCAAAGCACTTTTAAACCGCAGGTCAGACTTAACCACTTCACACACTGATGGCAGAGGCTGCTATAAGTGTTGTCTTCCATGTACAACCTATTCTAAAATCTCAGCTACATATTTAGCAAGTCAGTAAAATAATAAGTAAAAGGTAGAAAATAACACAGGCAGGAATAATTCTTTAGTTTGTTCTCTGATATCTTGTGCAAAATAATGAAAACTGACTAAAATATCTTGATTCTTGCAGCCCCCGCTCTTTGGAGTCAATCCCAGACAAAATGAAGAAGCACATGCATGTTGTGCACACACAAACCCAAGCACACACAAAATCCCACACTGAGGAACATAAACACACACACACACAGAGACACACATGCAAGTTAGCCACACAGAAAATGAGAATGAAGCAGTGCCTGGTAATAATAGCTTTGAACAAACCTCTGTGTGTTTCTGTGTGTTATTGTGTCGGTGCGTGCACACGTGTTTGTGCTGAAGTGGACTTCGACAGATACAGACATACAGAGACTCTTTGTTCAAGCTTTTTTCTGAGTCATGACAACTCCCAGAGAGTGACTGACACCAGTGTGGTATCCACTGAGGTGGAGACAAACACACTCTAATGGAATACCCATGTGGGATTTTTCAATGAGGTTGATTCTGCCGTGCTGCAGATGTGGCCTCAGTGTTACCCCACCATTATGGTTCAGTGGGAATCATTGTGAGTGGCTAGTACTAACTTAAAGGTGGTTAAAGGGTGTTGGATTATAGATGTTTGATAAAAGATAATAGTAACATAATATGACAGCCTATTTTAAAAAGCTTAAATATCACAGTGTTGATATCACAAATTAGCAACAGAAATGGAGGCAGCCCCACACAATAAGCTAAATACCGTAATGGCTTAATTAGGTTGGGAGGCATGCGCTGTTAATGTTGTGTGAATAATTATTGATTAGTCATGTGCACAGGTGCAATGGAGAAGGGGAAATAGTCTCTATGAAAACCAAGGCTGTGAGATCCAGGTGGATCGTGATGATAGTTATGTGAAGAATGCAGAAATCACATTATTTGCTTTTTTTTCTATCCACCTTACTGTTGAATAAACAGGTCAATGACCTTGTGCTGGTCATTAATTCTTCAGTCAAACTTTGTGTCTTTAACTGAGCGTTTAAATGTACGTGGCTTTAACCACATTGGTTATTTCGTTCACCTTCAAGGAATACAATAAACCAACGTTAAGTGTTATTAATGGTAAACACAAGAAAGAGCTGAGTTTGTTTTTCAGTGCTATCCAGTCGGTGAACTGTTTGTTACACCTTGCAATAATGTTCAAGTAACCATGGCAACATGTGTTACGTGATGTCAATGTGACCTGAGAATAGCCTTCAGTAGACCAACATAGAGTGAACTATTCCAATTAAACCATTTCTCTTCATGTGTAGATAACTGTGGAGCCTCAAATGAAAATTGTTGCCTCAAAGGAATGATGGCAAAAAAAAAAGTATTTTAAAAAGATATATTGTAGGTTAGTTTAATGCAATTGCAGATACATTCTTTACATTTTCCTACCAAATATATTGTATTTTACAGAAAATAACTTTAATTGCTTTAATTCCTTTCCATTATGCATTCTTCTCTTTCGGCTAAATTACTTTTTGTTTTAAAAAGACAATGATTTAATTATTAATAACAGGCTACGTACTTAAATCCACATGTTACTGATTGGACTTTAAACCCTATTTTATATTAAATTATTATTTTTTTTTTTTAAACACAACTGTATTAAAAAAGAAGAGAAACGGAAAAAAGGAAAGAAGCAAATTGGGATTGACTTGACAGCGGATGCTCAAACTGGATTGATCCAGCGATAAAAAAAAACTAGTTTTGTTATTCGGCTGACTTTTGGCCATTCGAGTAGCCGTACCCGCTGACGTCATTAGAGAGCGACGCGTAACAATGGTAAGTGAGCAAGCAATTTTCTCTTCGGCTCTTATGTTTATTTTTCAAAAACCTTTTTTATTGCGAATAAAACACAATGTACATGACCGGACACTTCAACATGCACACTATAGTATAATTCCAAGTGGCTGTATGTCTTATTTTGTATAATTTAAAGCAGAATTAAAAGAAGTTAACAGCCTACTAGCAGCTAGCAGCATTAGCTTGTTTCTCCGTCGGTAGCAGCTATGCTAGCTCTTATTAGCAAAGTCATTCGGGCTGAAGACACAGTTTCTCTCTTAACTTCATATTATCCTGTTTCTTACGGGTCTACTTTCGTCTCACGTAGTTTGTCTCTTCAACAATACGAGTTGACGGCTTCAGTCTATCAGCTGACTTTATTGTCATCAGCTCGACAAATTATCATTAAAGAAAGATAAACATTAAAACTGTGCACTGGAAGCTTCTTTTGAGCTTTACTGAAACATGTGTGATGTTTTGTTAGGGTCAAAGCCAGAGTGGAGGCCACGGTCCAGGAGGAGGAAAGAAAGATGACAAGGTGAGAATGACACAGCTTCTGATAAATGTTTATATTGTATTATTACATTTTATATTGTAAGATATGAGTCTGATCCTTTGTCATCAACACAATGTATTCACAAAACTTCCCTTCAGCAAGTTTTCTACAACACTTAGAGTAAAATGAGCCTTTAACTGTGTAAAGGAAATTAATTTGTAGAGATATTGGTATCAAGATTTTAAAAAAGCGTAGATATATAGACTACATTTGTTTTATGTTGCAACAAGTTAAATGTGTTAGTTCAACATTCGTCTGCTATTTGAATACTGATGTTTAAGCTTTATGGCTTCCTTTCTGACTTGTACCGATGCTATTTTGTGCCTTCTTAAGGATAAGAAAAAGAAATATGAGCCTCCAATTCCCACCAGAGTTGGCAAGAAAAAGAAGAAGACTAAGGGACCAGACGCTGCCAGTAAACTACCTTTGGGTAAGGATCTGAAAAATGAAAAATAA